AATTGTTTAGGTATATTGTTAATATACATTGTTTAGCTATATTGTTAATATACATTGTTTAACTATATTGTTAATATACATTGTTTAACTATATTGTTAATATACATTGTTTAACTATATTGTTAATATACATTGTATAACTATATTGTTAATATACATTGTTTAGCTATATTGTTAATATACATTGTTTAACTATATTGTTAATATACATTGTTTAGCTATATTGTTAATATACATTGTTTAACTATATTGTTAATATACATTGTTTAACTATAGTGTTAATATAAATTGTTTAACTATATTGTTAATATACATTGTTTAACTATAGTGTTAATATAAGCTTAAGGAGTACAATATAGGTATTTTTTTATGCACTCGATACTTTAGAAAAACCTTTTTCGAACTCGAGTTTGGAGTAATGGTTATTTGTTTTTCTTACAATTTTCATGTCAACCTTTTTTTTTTAATTCTTCTTGTTTATCAAGGAAGGGAAGACATTAAGAAAGTTAGCAACACCTAGAATAAAATATCTTACTTGATAAATTTCCATGCTTCTAACTCATTCTTCGTTGGAAGGAAAAAAAAATAACCAGATAAAATGGCTGTTGCTCAGTTGATATATATTCTCCACACCAATGATTTCCTCTTTGCCTATGAAAAAAAAAAGACAAAAATGATTTATGTTCATGTGAAGTAAACTGAAAACAACAATAATAACAAAAAACAGACATCACGTTAAAAGAGCAAGATAGGACAAACAGCCATGAAAGAACGAACATTAACATTCAAGAAAAAAAAAACTGTTATCAGTGAAGAGAGTTTTACTTGTGAAAAATAGGTGTGGCCGCAATATTCTTTACGTATGTAACACTGAGTTCACTTATATGGTGTGAAGGCGACTGTTTTTTTACTGTGAACTTCTTTCCGCTTCATTAAACAGAAACCTGACACTCGAGATGCTTGAACAGACGTTTACTTAGACAATGGTTTGCTTGTTTATTCCTAATTTTGAGCTAATGAATAAGACGGATGGCAGCCAGAGTCAACAACACCCACCGCCAACTCTAGGACGGACTATTCTTGATCGAATAGTAGGATCTGACTGCCACTCTTTTAACGCATCCACGGCATACAAGTGCGGAGCGCGTGTACGAGGCAATTAGTCCTGAGCCATGAATCCTCGGGTTCACAGTCAGGGCACGCTAATTACTAGGCTATGATTGGATTTTGATGAAAGCTTAATCTCGGTGGTATCAAAAGTTATTTAAGTAACAAATTTGTTAAAGTACATGAAATTCTAGTTCCTCAGAACGTTTACACGTATGTTCTTTGTGCATGTAAGTTCTTTTTTAAACAGGTTCTACTTGTATCATGTGTCACCCAAGATCTTCAACCCTCATAGTCTCGTCCGCTACTTGTATCATGTGTCACCCAAGATCTTCAACCCTCATAGTCTTGTCTTATAGTTGTATGTTGTTGCACCCAAAATATTCAATATCCTTCATAACTCCTGGAGAATTTATCGGTAGTTATGCGATGTCCAGGAATCAGGGGTCTAAGTTTAGTACTGTTTATTGTTCTGTAGTTATGCGATGCCCAGAAATCAGGGGTCTAACTTTAGTAATGTTTATTGTTCTGTAGTTATGCGATGTCCAGGAATCAGGGGTCTAAGTTTAGTACTCTTTATTGTTCTGTAGTTATGCGATGTCCAAGAATCAGGGGTCTAAGTTTAGTACTCTTTATTGTTCTGTAGTTATGCGATGTCCAGGAATCAGGGTGGTCTAAGTTTAGTACAATTTCTTGTTCTAAAGATTCTTAGACTGATTTTTCAATTTGGTACTGCAAAAAATTATATATACACATAGCGCACTTTAAAAACAAAAGAATATTTGGTTAAGAATACAATAGATGCATAGCTTTTACCAAGTGTTTTCTTTATAGCTTTTGGTATTAGAACCCGAAATATCTGATCAATAATTCCCTCTCATAGTCTCGTCCCCTCTACTTGTATCATGTGTCACCCAAGATCTTCAAATAGTCTCGTGTCACCCAAGATCTTCAACCCTCCCCTCATAGTCTCGTCCGCTACTTGTATCATGTCCTCTACTTGTATCATGTGTCACCCAAGATCTTCAAACAAGACTACGAAGGACGATGTTCATATTCTGATCAAAACAACCACTAACTAAACTCTAGAATAACCGAACCCATATCACTTTCCCACCTGATTACAGAAACTACGATAACAACAATGTTTGTGGTTTATAAACAGTTTTCGACAGAGTTTTATCAGAAAATATTCGTACTAAGATATGAATGAGTACTACTAACTGTTTGGATTGTTTTGTTTAAAACCCAATGTTGCAAAAAAGGGCTACTTACGCTGTACCCACTGCAGAAATTGAACTCCGAATTTTGTTGTAGTAAAACCTCAACGGGAGGGGACTATTGATATTACAAAGAGATACACCATGCTCCCCAGTGGCTCTGAAAGTTATAATACTAAAAACAGGTCCTCGATACCCGTGGTGGGCACAGTCTAGAGAGCCCATTGTGTAGCTTTCTGCTTAATAGCAAACAATAAAATTAAACATTCGTGAATAAACATTTTATTTTCAATGCCACTTTTTAATCCGAACAAGAAACATTTATAAGCATAATGTCTCCCAGTGGGACAGGGGTAAGTTTACGGACTTGCAACGCTAAAATCCGGAATTCGATTCCCTGCGGTGAACACCGCAGATAGTTCAATGCGGCTTTCCTTTAAAAAACAAAACAAAAAAAACATATCGTAATTAGAGTTTTGTTACATGACTTGAATATTTTTAATCTCTAAATAAAAACAGACAAACATAGAATCTTATGAACATAAAAATATCAAAGTAGAAAGAAAATATGAATACACGCTCCAGATTTCAAGAAAATCTTAGCGAAAACAAAGAAAGAATCTACAAATACATTTATTAACCATTAAACAAATTAAATTTTCTGATATTTCTTGTATCTCTTATTCTAATTTCTGATATCCTGACTATCATCATTTTTTTCTCGAGGTTATTTTAACCTTTTCCAAATTTTTTCAGTTGTTTCTACTTATCGACCCTTTACAGCTCATCTATCCAAATCGTCATATCTTTTCCCTTTTTTTTTCAAAGTGCTGCCTCTTTCCTGTTCTTCCTCTCATTGATTGTCATTTTTTTAACCATCCAGGCTCCTCCCATTCTAAAGACCTATAACTCTTCCGGACCACTTTTGATTTTCTAATTTAAGACTACAATGTGAAATAAGCTCAACTTTATGTGCAGAGTTTTGAACATAATTTTCAAACATTTCGTTAAGTAAATAAAATTTTGTGATGTTGTTCGACATGAAGGTTGTCTCGTGCACTTTACCAAAACAAGAAACAGACCACCCAGGTCACGCAAGATAACTTATATTACACACTACACCATCACAACATTTCTTTCATAAAACACTAGTAGATATTGTTTTTACACCGTTAGAAAGATTGTTTTTTTTTAATATTTATTTCAAGAAACGGATATATATCGCTACTATTGACGTAATGTGAAGATTCCGAATAGCTGAAAATGATTCCTACTAATTGAGATATCGTGATAAAATTGTTAAATCCCCCTTTCTTTAACATAATTAAAAATCTTACGAACTTTGGGAAACATGTTAAATTGTTCTACAAATATCAGTTTGGGTTGAAAGGTTCACTCTCCTGTCTTCCGATGTAAAGATTTAACTAAAATTGTTGAACAGTTATCATACTCCAATCACAGGCTTAAACATACGCGTGGCCCCAGTGACTCAGTAAGTTTGAAGGCATATAATGCTAAAAACAGGATTTCGCTAACCCTGGTGGGCACAGTTTAGATAGCCCTTTGTGTAGCTTTGTGCTTAACAGCAAATAAATAAATAAATAATAAATGTTCGTGAATTAATAAATATTTTATTTTCAATGTCATTTTCGTTTATTTGATCAACGGTTACCAAACAGGTTAAGGTCAACAATTCTTGTGTTACTTTATTTCATCATCATGATGACTAAAGCTTGTAGAACCGTTGTACATTTGTTACTTGAAATAAAGTGTCTTTCATTACCCATTCAAAACGTCCTCAAACTTTATGTCATTTTACGCTTTTATTTAACAAAATGTCACTATCATTATAATAGGGGAAACTCAATCAATTTGTTATGAATTTCGCGAAAAGCTACACGAGGGCTATCTACGCTAGCTGTCCATCATTTAGCAGTGAAGGCACCTAGTCTTCACCACCCACCGCCAACTCTTGGGCTACTCTTTTACCAACGAATAGTGGAATTGACCGTTACATTATAACGCACCCACGGCTGAAAGGGCGAGCATGTTTCGTGGAACGGGGAATCGAACCCGCGACCCTCAAATTGCGACTCGAGCGCCCTAACTCAATTAAGTCATATATCAATCTTTTAGCGAGTGAAGACGACAGATACTTTTTGTATAATAACAAACGTAACAATTTTCTTTTATGCTTGTTCTAACATTCATATCTATAATACAAGAAAGTTAATTCAAAACGATGGTATTTCGTAATTAAGTGTGTTCCTTCACCTTAGAGTTTATAAAGAGTCTTCCCACCAACTTTCAATGCGTGATCCATGCGATTTTTCTAATAAGCAAATTCCCCAACACCATTTAAAATAGGCGGAGAACATTCGTCTAGGTTACAAATCAAATCTACCTAGTTTTCTTTTCTTAGATTCAAATATGTCCAAATATCATACCATTACACTCAACGCTCCCCACCCCAAAATGCCCCCTTGTAAACACTCTTTGTGAATCCCATTGTATGTAACAGTGTCTACGATATAGAAATTCTGAGATTAACTTGAAAAACAAAACAAAATACTATATGTATTTCCAGTGTCGTCGAAAGTGTTGTTTCAAGAGTAAATAAAACCAAAGTTAAAAGTAATCAATATTTTTATTTCTTGCTTTTGAAGTTCGTATGTCATGCTTTTTTGTAGCCTACAGAGTGCGTAATTCTTCTCGTGATTCATGGCATGCGCAAGGTTTACTGAAGTCAGAACAGTACAAATTGCGATGTTAAGCGCCCCTTTTTGACGTCATTTTACTGACTGACAACACACTACTGTATAGTGGTGCGACTGGTTAAAACAGATGATCTCTCCAGTAGCCTTCGGCCCCCTTTCGTGGAAATAGCTCAAGAGGAATCCGGGGACTCCCACAGACTCCCACAGATGAATATCGCTTCTAGAACCTGCACCATCAATTGTTTTTAATGATAATTTTTTAATATAATTATTTTTTATCCTTCTTTCATGCATCTCCTACTTCGTTATATTTTATTTACCCCTTTTTATTTTATTGTATCTTGTGCCCCCTTTTTCACATTCTGGAGTAACTGTCTCCATAACCCCCAGTCTCACAATAGATGTCCTGGTTCTTTATCGTTTCTTGAAAAATGTTTTATACCATATTTTTTGTTATATTATATTTTCATTTATACTGTAGTAAAAACAAAAATACGCGTTTTTGTTGTTGTTTTTTTTGGCAAAATCCAAATAAGTAATATTATTCCTGATGCTTACGTAGCAGGGTAATCTTG